GTGTGTGTGTGTGTGTGTGGTGAGATGGGCACTGTCTGTCTGTGATGGGGGGGATTATTCTCATATACACACTGTGTCGCTAATGAGAGAGGAATAACAACATGGCCGTGTTTAATTGGATTCTCTGTAATCAGAATGGATGGCTTCATTCAGATGTGATTAGAACCTGGATGAGATGGACGGCTGCTCAACAGCCTCAGTGACCTGCTGTTATTGGATTGTTCCTGAGTGAGCGCCTGATGATGAGATGTTCGAATGACGAGGAGCGCTCTGACACCAACTGCGGTGTCGGTGAAGAATGACAGCGCTCCTGTCTTTCTTCTGAGAGTCCGTCTGCGCTCTTGGTGTTTATACCTGTTGGCTTGTGCGTGGTGAGCTTGTATTGTTTTGTGATGGATGGCAGTTGTTTCAGTTTGAGTGTCTGAGGTTAGAGAGGCTAATTGAAAATCCAGGTGGTTTGAGGTGGTTTATCTGAGCGTGCATATTCTTTTATTGAACGCGTTTGGTCCGACACGTACAAAGGCCGGAGAAGCTTGTCAAAGAACCGCAGCGCATACAGTGACTGACTGGATTCTGCAGAGGTTCAGCTCACTGGGTCTGCAGCTTTTTATTTATCCTTACTAATCCACAGAGAGTTGGGGAAACAGAGAGGCAGGGATTATAAAGCCTCCTCATTATTGTGGAGTTGACGGGGAGGAGAGTAAAGCTTTGCTGTTGTGGGGGTTAAAAACCTCCTGAACAGTGTGTCTCTAAAGAACGCTAATAAGCAAAGTGTTTCAAATCAATTTAAAAAATCAATTCAGGCCAACTAGTCATTGTATTTACTGCAAAATGCTTGTGGGATCATTTATAAAGCATAATGCAGCACTACGGGAATAACCACTCAATGCTCTTAAAACGTCGTCTTCTAACAGATGGGGTGTTTGCAGGAATCGCTTCGGAGCTGCAGTTTTCTACCTGCAGGCGGGACAATTCTCATTGTGTGGACTGTGTTTAATTCAAACATAAATCTAACCCTAAAAAAAGAGCCGGCCGATCCTCCGGTACAGCGACAGCTCCCATCAGGGCAGGTGAGCTGATATTCATCGGCCGGGACGAGAGGTGACAGGTGCTGTGTTTCAGGACCCGAGCTGCCGCCTCTCGCCCTCAGACAGAGCTCACACAAACCTATTATCCTTTCCTGTGTCCTTCACCGTCTCCTGTTGCTATGGAGAGCGATGCTTAACTTCGATAGGGTCAGACAAAATCTCAGCTCGCCGCCTTTGCCCTTGTGCGAGTCCCTCTCATGAGCGAACTGGATTGCAGGTCTTAAATGGGCTTTGTTCAGAGAACACCTCCGCTCCACAGGAATTAAGCAAAATGCAGCGTTTGTTGGAAGTGAGTTGTGAGAAGAAAGCAAAGACGACGACTGAACTCGCTGTAGAACAGATGATGAACTGTGTGTATGTCATTGAGGTGGTTCACAGTTTTTTTAACTAAAAACGTATTGTGTCGAAACAACAGCGATAACCATTATACAAAGATTTGACCACAAGGATGAAGGATATTCATGTTTTGTTGTAAATACTTTGCTGTAATTCAAAGGTCTTATGGAATATTAGCAATATAAAGACTTTTCCTATTAGCGTGATGCCGCTCTGTATCGAGCCTTTGTGCAGCTGTATGTTTGTGATGAAAACCACTGAAAGGTTCCTTCAGTGTCTGACCTTCTATCAAGAGTCTGAGTTGTGTGTCCTCTTGTCCTTCTGCAGGAGACACGCCTCCCTACCTGTCCAAGTCACAGAGAATCCTGGGAGGTCGGCGTCCGCGGGCTGCAGAAGAGCTGTGCCCTGCCACAAGTGGAAATCTGCTTCCTTTGGGTACAGTAACATGTTATTTTCATGATTACATCCTTAAGGTTTAGTTTTTTCCCCATGATACATCTCCAGCGCTGCGGCAGCGAGTGTTCTCCTTGTCTTCATCTCATCTTGCTTAACAGTCTTCGCAGCTCGGATCAGTTCCCTGCTAATTAGCTCTCTGTGCCAGACGTAATACTCTTTCAAACTTTGATGCGTCCTAATGGTCTGAGTCTTTGCAGCTGCTCTCCAGTCACCATGTTTTTGTGACACAGCAGTTTTCTGTGCCGCCTTGTTGTTTTCCTGACGCGCACATCGCACCCCAGCGGCCAAACGCACTGCAAGAGGAGATCATTAAGCTTATCCTTAATGAAATATGATCCACGCGAATGTGAACCACCATTGCTGCTCACCCATTAGCCGCTGAGCTCGATGACGGCGCCTCAAGAAATGAGGAGAGCTGAGCACACAGTGGCATCGCTGGGACCGACTTAAGGGCCTTCAGAAGGCTGGAGAGAGTTCCAAAGACGCCTCCTAGTGCTGTGTGCTTCATCATCAAAAAGCCATGCGCGCCTAATCCATAGCCCACTTTTAGCTCATGTGCAGCCCAAAAATAAACCCCAGTGCGTAGTGGTAACGTTCTATTTTTAAAGAGCAGTGCTCAGAAGTTTTTGATGCGTGGGAACATCTGTGGGTTGGTTTTAAATATTGGCACCACTGCAGAAATGAGGAATTCATATTTCTCGTTGATTAATACCTCACTCTTTTTTACTGTCTTTATTCGTCTCTGTGTGTTTGTCGCCCTGTAAGTAATTTTCGAGCACAGTTGTGAGCTAACGCGTTAAATGGATCATGACTGTAAACAAGATGATGGCTGTGATCAGAGGTTGATTGTTTTCCTCTCCAGCTCAGCAGCATTGTTTGTCTCTGTTGAGTCTTACCCGGCTCACACAGGCACACTGTTGCTATCAGCTAATTACCTAATGATGACAGCACCAGGGAACATGCCCTCATCAGATATCTGATCGTTTAGACTCTGCAGATTCATTTCAGATGCTTGCTTAATGCTCCAGAGGTAAAATCATTCACTTTCTGTTGATATTTGGAGATTATTCTGAAAGTGGGTCTTTGTTCTACCTTTCTGGTTATTTTGAGGGGATGAAAATGTATCTAAGGTCATACATGCACAATCACACACACACACAGTTGTGTGTCCTCTGTCCTCAGAGGACATTATATTGATTTACATAGATTTCTTGGAGATTTACTCAAACCTTATCAATAACTAGTACTTACCTGACCCTAACCCTTAACCTAACCTTAATCTAACATTATCACACTACTTAGCCTTAAAATGTTATGATTTACATTATGGGGACTTGCTTTTTGTCCTCATAAGGAAGACATGTCCCCATAATGGTACTGTGTAAACAGATTTAGGTCCCAACAACATGAGTAACCACACACACACACACACACACACACACACACACACACACACACACACACACACTAGAGGAATGTGAAGTGACAGGACTGATTGAATCTTTTTCAGTTCCGCTGTGCGTCGTTCTCTGACTCAAAGCGAAAGCAGATGGTTGTCATGAAGACATCGGTTAAAGCTTTTCCGTCTTGTTTGACTTGTTTCCTTCAGCGGACAGGAAGTTCACTGGACATGACGAGCAAAGGTCGTGGGCCAGATTTGAACCCAGGATGTAGAAGTTGTGTGTACTGTGGAACGCTGAGTCACTAGAAAACAGCATTTCACACAAAAATGCTTTGTCATTAGTCTCGACTGAAGCAGTGTGGCTGTGTTAGACTGTCGGCGAGTGATTGATCTCTACGCCTGTATTTCTGTGTGTGTGGCAGCAACAGCAAGCGAGGTAGTGAAATATTAATTATTATGCCATTTGTGAGGTGCTGTGTTATACGCCCTGCAGTATGTGCTCGTTTTAGATGTTTGGAATGAACATATTTAAAAAACTGAAATAAAACCTAAACTGTGCCATTCAGGAGAAATGTCTGCTGGAGAGTAAAAACATGACTCGCAGATAGTTGTTGCAGCCAATTTATTTTAAGCCTGTGCTATTTTCAGATGCAGGTTAGATGCTGTCATTGTCTAAAAGTTTCAGTAATTCCTGCAGACTTTAGAAACTGTGCTAAAGAAGAATTAGGAGTTAATGGGGTAACTTTGGTGTTGAAGCATCGTGGTTCGCTCAATGTGCTTCATGCCGGAGTTGGGGGGATCTCAGGGGACAAACCAATCACATTTAAAGCGAGCAGAGCAGATGCTAGACCGTAATAGAAGCTACAGACCTCAGGGATCGACTGGAACAGTTCACAGGCGATGTAGCACCTTGATTTAAGTAGAAGTAAACAATTAGATTTTATTTGTTCCATGCCTGAATGTGCATATTTGAATCAATAGTTAACTAATGATGCATTTAGTAGACTACTGGTTCAGATTTGTCCTTAATTAATCAAAAGTTAATTAACCAATTATCAGAATAGCTATGAGGACTTCTGCTGATTGAAAAATGTATATGTTGACAAAACAGTCCAGCTAATTACATGTTTTTATTTGCTTTAAATAGTGTTATTCTAACGCTGGTCCAGAATCCGCAAATAAATTTAGGATTCAGCAGCTTGGTCAGTGAAATGCTTCCAGTAAAAACTGTTATCATCACAGTTGAGTGACTGGAATGTAGGAGAGATGATTCTTCCTCCAGTACAATAGAGTATCTGAAATTGAACAGAGGTGGCAGATCACCTGACGTCTCTCAGAACCTGCATCATAACGACGAACGTGTCGCTCAAGGTGTTGAAAGTCTTTTTTTCACTCACCTGCACTGGTCTCCAACACGATCAGCTCAGCTGCTCGTATTAAACCTGAGTCTGTAGAGCTCTGAGCAGAGCAGAGGTGGTGGGAGAAAATCAGCAAGAATCTAATGTGGAGCATTAAAGAAACAAATGTTAAAATGGTGAAAAGTGAATTGATAAAATAAAAGGAAGTGAATTACTTTGAGAGGTGAATTATAAATCGGATGCTGTAATAGTTTCCATCAGGTACCAAAATGGCTCAACTGCTGGTTTCAGTAAAATCATTTTAAATGGCTTTTTTATCTGCCACACGGTCTAAATAGAAGTTTGCATTTCACTTAATTCTATCTCAGCAGCTCACTGAAGTAGAGTGAACACAGAATCAAACAGTTTCATATCACATACTTCTCGCCAACCTTCTTGAGAAGAAGAAAAAAACGTTTTTATTAAAATTCAAGCAGTTCAAGTCCGGTGAAAAATTTTGGAGCTACAAACTGTGCAAGGTGCAAATATCATGTCAAAGTTTTTCAGGTATAAGACAATTGCAAAAGGTCTTAACGTACTACCTCTCTGGCAACAGTGGACATGAATGGAGATTTGAATGTGAAATGATTCCTACATGATTCTTCCAACTTTTGTTCCATGAAAACCCTCTGACTGTAAAAGTTTCTGTTGGACCAAACTGTCTCTACACTGATACCTTATGAGGACATTTGTCTTTGAATGGGCTGTTTGCTTTGCTTGTGGTGATGCTGGTTGCAGTTTTCTTTCTGAAACTATTAAAGTGACCTGCAGGGATTGAGCCGTGGCAAGAACCTTGAAGCTGCACCACCGCTGCGGCACAAAGAGCCGTCAAAGTTCAGTGAAGCTGATACGCAGAACCCAGAACTGCAGAATCAGATGTTGCAGCTGTTGTTGGGATAAACAATGACGAGAAGATGAAACAAAGCCTGCCCTTCCTCATCTTCATAGATCAGTTTTGCACCCAAACTCAAGTCTCTGAGGCGAGTAAAGCAAGTGGTCAGCTGAGGTAGCGTCGTAAATCCAGAGGAAACTCCTGCCAGAATCTTTTACTACCCAGTAAGATAGATGTGATACCATAACCATTATACACCACATGAGTTTTATACGTGTGGATGCAGCTGAGTGTGTTTATGCACATCTAAAGCTTCACCCTTTACTTTATGTCTTTAGGTTTGGCAGGTCTGCAGAACTTTTTCTTGAATAGTCTGTTATTGTTTTGAGTATAAAATGTCATAAGAGTAGTGAATGATGCTAATAGTTGTCCAGAATACAACAATATTTAATGTACAATGACATAAAACACAAAAACAGCAGATTGGAGAGACTCAAGTCAAAAGACTGACTTTGGCAACTGAGCCAGTTTATTTAACCTTTGTCTGTTTTCATCTGTGTTCGTTCGTTATTCAACAAAAACTTTTGGACAGATCACCTTGAAACTTGGAAGGATGTTGCACTGATCAGGAAAGAACCCATTACCTTTTTGGTGCAGATCGGAGGCGGATCCGTTTTTTTCCATCTTTAACATTGTAAGATTGATTGTAAAAAGTGTTTTTCAACATATTTTGATGATTTCTCAGAGAATTCTTATAAAACTGTATCCATTAGAATATCAACACCAGCCTCCCAAGATGTATTATAGATAAATAATAGAATTCAGAAAATGGGTCAGGATGATTTTCACATTTTGGGTTTGCTGTGATATATAAAGGGAGCTTTAAAGCTGCCCAACTCTCCTCTTTTAGGCCTTAATTCCCTACCTACTGCACATCGACATTAAAACAGTTTGGGAAAGTTCTTTCTCTTTTATATCCAATATGAAAGGAAACCCTCTGTGAAAAATACCCCTGGTTTTGTGGGTTTTATTACTGTAGCAGTGTCCTCTGGCTCTTTAGTGTCCACTGTCCTCCCGCTCTCGCTGCCTTCACGTGACCGTTGCAGCAGCAGTGAGAGCAGGAAAGCTGCTTGCGTCAGGCTGAGAAAGTGAAAGTGGAGCAGAGTCACACTCGGCCAGCAGGGATGCAAAGCTGCAGCTTATTTTGTGAAATGGCTCTGTGTGGTTTAATGAGGAGTAAGGAATCTGAAATTATCTGAAGTGCAACTTGAAGAGAAAAGCAGTTTTAATTTTTTGTTGATTAAATGAGCTAATATTCAATCGAGGAAACACAAGTCACCTCATCAGT